AAATGTTTGTTCTAGGTCTGTGAAATATGCTGTTGGTATTTTCATAGGAATTGCATTAAATTTATAAATTGCTTTGGGTAGTATGGACATTTTAATGATATTAATTCTTCCAATCCATGAGCATGGTATCTTCTTCCACCTGTTTAAATCTTCCTCTATTTCTTTTTTCAGTGTCGCGTAGTTTTCTGAGTACATGTCTTTTACATCCTTGGTTAAGTTTATTCCTAGGTATCTTATTTTTTTAGTTGCAATGGTAAATGGTATTGCTTTTTTAGTTTTTCTCTCTGAAAGTTCATTGTTGGTGTATAAGAATGCCATTGATTTCCGGATGTTGATTTTGTATCCAGCTACCTTGCCAAATTCGTTTATCAAATCTAGTAGTACTTTGATGGAGTCTCTAGGGTTTTCTATGTACAGTATCATGTCATCTGCAAATAATGACAGTTTTATTTCCTCCTTTCCAATTTGGATACTTTTTATGTTTTCTTCCTGTCTGATGGCTATGGCGAGGACTTCCAGTACTATGTTGAATAAACCTCTTGGGGAGTTATGTTATATGAATTACGTGCATGTGTTGCCTTCCTAAAATCCAAACAATTCTGAATCCTGAATTCTGAATCTGACCTTGCTCCAAAGGGATTTGGATCTTCAGCACTTCCTACCTAAAATCATTGAGGATTAAAGGAATAATGTTACCAGCATAACTAGCTAGTTATTAATGTTAATAATAGAAAGAAAGCAAAGGGGAGGCCAGACATTGTAAGCATGGTCATCTGGGCAGCTGCAACTCTACACTCCCCAGGGAACCACAGGTCCATTCCCTGCAAATCACTGGGGTAAGGGAAATGGGTCCAAGCGAAGTGAAGTCGGGGATAACAAAGGGAAGGTACTTGTCTGTCAGTCTAACCTGGGAACAAAGATCATTGGCTAGGAGGGTGGACCCCAATGCAAGCCCACAAAAATTTGGGAATACATAACCTGCACACAAAGGAGTTCACTCCCTCTTGTCCCTCTTGCTTCACTCCTGCTTCCTTGCACTTGCTTATTCCATGACCCATGCTAGCCTGCCATGTGGCCCTAGAAGCTTCATGGCCCACAGCCATGTGGACCCCACAGTCAATGGACTGCAACTGGGAACACAAGCTAAGCTAGACAGATGCTGGACTGGACAGTGCTTCAACATGGAACAAAAACTCTGGGCAGTGGCTTTAATCCAAGCTCTGCTGAAGACAAAATGGGACTTTTTCCATGGTGGGATGGAGGGAGATGGGACCTTGGAAACTCAGGGGTTTAATTCCACAGAAATAAAACTTTCCACAATACCTCATCCTCCTGTGGGGGCCTCTGGAAATTCTTGTTCCCATGGCACCCCAAGAGCTCCACTTCCACCAGCAACAGGTGAGGATGTGGAGGACACTTCACCAATAACAATAATATGTATAAAACACTCAGAAAATTGCCTGGTGCATAGTGCTAGTTGCTAGTGTTAGAGCCAGCTCTGTTTCTAGCCTCAATAGTACCTCCTTCCTCTTAAACTTCTGTGAGTACAAGGATTCCAAGTGCAGCTAAGAAAACTGCAATTATAATATGCTTTTAGCTGTTTACCCATGTGGTTTTGTGGTAGGTGAATACAAAGCAGTGTGATAGAGTATTTAGTGAGATATTTGTTTCAAGATTTATGTGCTCCTTCGCACTCCCTAACTCCTTCGGTAGAAAGCAGCTAATCCCTTTGTGTTTCCTACCTCAAGGACATTTACAGAATTCTTGGAAGGCCAACCTTTCTTCTAGTCTTTAGAGAATGCCCATTCTTACCAAATAAATGATCTATCCCAGGTGTCTTGGGTAGAGAGGGGAGAGAAGCAGGATGAGGTGGGGGCCTTTCACAGCAGTAGGAAGAAAGAGTGACTCCCCCAGAGTGGAGAGGTTCAAGGACTCAAGCGTCAGCCCTGTATCATCAGGACACATGGCAAGCCCTTGGCATCACACAGCTCTGTGATGCATCTATTGGACCTTGAGAACCTGGTTCCACAGCTTTAACAGATCTAGGCTTGTCACTGAAAATAACAGAGCAACCTGCCTTCTCCTTAGAAGAACCTGTATGTTGGATAGTGAGGGTATCAGCATCAAAATTAATGGGCTGAAGAATAAATAGCCCTGATTCCAATGGTACCAGAAACCTTCCTGGATTTTTGCATGGCCCCAGAGAATGATGCTTGACAGTGGATTTCCCTACACTCCTACATGGGCTGAGTGGAGAGAAAGTAAAGATACATAATATTTTTATGTACATCTGAGCTAGTAAACTAATACTCATACTTGGGACACCAGATCCAAAAGATCTACCTATACTATAGATCTGCCTGTACTGTGATCCCATAGAGATGAGATGTCTTGAAAAATGGAAACTGAGAGAGACAGAAAGCAGACTTGTGGTTGCCTGGGGTTAGGAGTGGTGTTGACTACAAACAAGTTCAAGGATATTTTGGGGCGTGATAAAAGTATTCTAAAACTGGATTGTAATGATGATTGCACAATTCTATTAGCATAATTGAAATCACTGAATTATACACTTACAATGGGTGAATTTTGTGGCATGTAAAGCATACTACAAAACACCAAAAAGAATACTAGAGCCTGCAATAAATAATCATATTGTCTTGTAAAAGGTATGCCTTTTCCTCTATTGGGCCAGCATCTACCCTGTAGCTCAGCTGGATCTGGGCTTTCTTTGAGCCTTAGATTCAATTTACCATTGACTCCAAATATTGTGATGATGGGTTCCTCAAAAAGTTCAACAAAATTACCGTATTACCAAGCAATTCCACTCCTAGATATACAGCCCTGAATATTGGAAACGTGTTAATGGAGGGGAGGGGGCCTCATCTCTCCTAGTTGCTGCTGGGAGTGGAATTCTGAGAAGAAGAATTTTCTGAGACTCACATGGGAGAACGAGTGATTTTTATTTCTGTGGAATTACATCCCTGAGTTTCCAAGGCTCCATTTCCCTTTGTCCAGTCATAGAAGAAGTGTAGCTGGGGTTTCGGTAGAGCTAAAATCAGAGCCAGTGTCCAGAATTTCCTTTCCATGTTGGAGCTGTGTCCAATCCAGCATCAGGCTAGTTTAGCTTGTGTTTCCTGCTACCGTCCATTAGTCTATTGTATATGGGGTCTGTAGGGCCACAGAGCTATAAAGGAAACAAGGGCGAATGCAAGGAAGCCAAGAGTGAGCCACAGGCCGAGAGACACAAGAGCAACAAGAGAGAGAACTCTTAGTTTAGGAGATTATTAATCGTTGTCCAAATTTCCATATGCTTGCAGTGGCCATGACCATTCTGGACAACCATCTCTGTCCCTGGGTTTGACTGACAGGCAAGTATCTTCCCTATGTCACCCCAACTTTACTGGGCATGTGTCTATCTTCGTTCTGTTGGATCCTTTCCCCCAGTGTTTTCCAGGGAATAGGCAGGTTGTTTCCTGAGGGATGCAAAGTTGCAGCTTCCTGGTGAAGCTGCCCAAATGACATGCCTATAATGTCTGGCTTCTCCCTTTGTGCCCTTCCTATTATTAATAACTAGCTAATTACAATGGTATCACAGGGACTCAGACCAGTGCATGTATAGGGTGGCCCAGAAGTCACTTTACCATTTAAAAATTTAATAACTTTTTTGGCATTAATTTTTTTTTAAATTTTTGTTTCAGATTTTGAAAAATTGTTCCCTGGAAATTTATGGAAAACTTCACAACAGAGCAACATGTAAAAATCATTGAATTTTATTTAAAAAATCAGCACTCCATTCTTCTAACACAGAGAGTGTGCATGTGCTATTTCCATGTCAGGAATCCACCCACAATCCGAGCAATACTTCATTTGGTTCAAAGTTCCGGCAATGGGAGTCTGTTAGTGATCTGCCACCAGCTGGAGATCATGCTCGGTAGTGTGCTGGAGAATACTGAGTGCATGCAGCAGAGCACCCAGGAAGAACCAGGAGTGAACTTGTGAGCTTGGAATCTCACAGACTTCATTGCAGTGCATGGAAACAAATTTACACATGTACCCATACAAGGTGCAGTTGGTGCATGAATTAAAGCCCAGGACTATCCAGCAGCCTAAGGATGTAATTCGGGAAGAAATTCAAGCACTGGAGCCAGACATGTTAAGAGCTGCCATGGAAAATGCCGTAGAAAGAGCCTGTGCTCCTGAGGCAGAAAATGAAGGTCATTTACGTGACATCGTTTAACATATTTTAAAAATTCCCATTTTCTGTACTTTATGTAATAAAAAAATAAATAGAAAAAATTAACAAACAAAAAATGTATTCAATTTTTAAATGGTAAAGCTGCTTTAGGGGCCACCTGTATAAGCTCTAACTGGTCACTTTCCTCTTACAGATATCTGGCATCTGCTTGTGTGAGAAGTGAGGTATGTAGTCAAAGCTTCCATCAGAAAGAGGCTCTGGAGCCCTAGCCAGTTTGGCTCAGTGGTTAGAGCATTGGCCCATGGATTGAAGGGTCCAGAGTTCAATTCCAACTAAGAGCAGGTACCTCAGTTGCAGGCTCACTCCCTGGCTCCAGTTGAGGCGAGTGTGGGAGGCAACCAATCAATGTCTTTCTTTCTCTCTCCTTCTACTCTCTTTGAAAAGCAATGGGAAAAATATCCTCAGGTGAGGATATATTTTTTTTTAAAGAGGCTCTGGATTAGGGTCTAACCTGCCACCAATTTGCAACAGACTCAGCTAAGTATTTTGAGACAGAGGAGCAAAGGCTCTGCTTTATGAAAAGCCAGAGCACAACGTGTGTGTGTGTGTTGGGGCTGGGGTGAGGTCTTCCTTCTTTTCCTTTGTCTCAGGTCTCTAAATCATGAAACAGAAAACTCACTGGAAAGGAGTGGAGGGCTTTATCCTTTAGGTGATTGTTGGTTTGGTCCTCTGTGAATGCTAAGTAAAGATAACTTAGTAATGATACTACTTATTAATTACTTCCTACTCCCTTCCCATTATGTATACACAGAAGCTTAGTCCCTGCCACCTTTTCTACCAAGTCAAAGCAGAGCATGGATTAAACATTAAATCTTTGTTTCCTTGTTTTGCTGTAAAACTGTTAATAGTTCCTGGAGCAAAATTATCTGATAAGTATTAATTAGCCAAAGCCAGTGATTTGGGAAAATAATCACTATAAGACACTACAATTCTTTGTCATGGTGTGAAAAACATTATCATTATCTTTGTGCTTGGGGAGTGAGACACAGCCTGGGTGTCTCATTTTCTACAGTTTCTTGCTTCTGATTTAATAATTTATCTGTCAGTGTTGACACATCTGTCTTCTTTCCATCTCATTTTTTTGAAAATGAGGTGTCTCACTTCTCAGAGGTGCATGGTGGAGTGGAGGACACAGGCCTGGGTGTCAGGCTGCCTGGGCTTGGCCTGAGAACTCAGGAAGGGACGGAGTACCCTGGGCTTGACCTCTTCCTCAAATGATCTCTTCACTTCCCTCCAGCTTCAAAAAATAGGAATTGCTTTTGGTTCATTACATTTGGTATCCTATTTTAGTAGATGCCAAATTACCTTAATTCCAGGCATCTTTGTTTTTGTATTAATCAGGGTCCTTCAGAGAAATAGAACCCATAGGATATATATATATATATTATATATTATAAATGTTATATGTTATAAGAAATTGACTTGTGATTATGGAGACTGACAAGTTCCAAGATCTGCAATTGGCACGCTGGAGACCCAGGAAAACTGATGGTGTAGTTCTAGTCCAGAAGCCAGCAGGCTTGAAACCCAGGAAGCTTGAAGGCAGGACAAAAACCAATGTCCAAGCTCAACAGAGTCAGGCAGGAGGAATTCCCTTTTATTTGAGTGAAGGTCATACTCTAGTTCCATTCAGGCCTTCAACTGATTGGATGAGGCCCACCTACATTAGGGAGAGCCATCTGCTTTAGTCAGTCTTATCAATTTAAATGTTAAAATCCAAAAACACCCTCACAGAAACACCCAGAATAATGTTTGACCAAATACCTGGGCATCCCATGGGCCAGTTCAGTTAACACATAAAATTAACCATTACACACAGAACATTAACCATTGTACACATAAAATTAACCATAGAGGCTAACTTTATGCTTGGCTAGTTAAATTGTCATAAATGATTTTGCAATTTGAAAATACCCTGTTTTCATGAGAAAATGTATTTATATAGGCTTTCAAATAGACTACAATATACCTGGATACAAAATCTTACTTGGATTGCCTGTGACCTTTGCACCCACAGAACCTCAACATTCCTCTCACCGGACTACATTAACCCTTTTCCGGTTTGTGCACAGAGTTCCTGTTCCCTTTGTCATAGACCAATAAACAGTTATTAAATTTGTAGACATGATGCCCTGATGAGCAGTAATACAGGTTTCTCTGAGGTTGGTCTTCTCAGATCTTTACAACTGGATGCCAGGAGCGCACTCCTTTTCCCCCTAAGGCCCATGGTTCAATTCTCCAGCAGATATGGCTTTAAATCTTGCAACTACTAACCCATTGTTATTCTCAACTCACCCATTTCTCTTTCTATTTCCACTGGGAACTAAGGGAAAATGACTTAGTTTACACTGGAGTTATTCCAGTGTGGAATTCACATAAAGCAATCTCACCAAGTTAATTTGCTATGATCCCAGGGAGGGAGAAAAATGTCCCAACCAAAATACATGTCTTGCAGAGACAAGTGAATATTCAGGGAATATTGTGCCAATGGTGGCCAAGTTTTGAAGAGTTGGCTGCAAGAACTCCAAGTTAAGGCCTATTTGTGAACTTGTAAGTGCTAAGGTAGTATTTCCCACTGCAATAATTTCAGAGATCTCACATAAATTTAGAACTTTCCCATTCATTAGGTCTTATTGTAACTCTGGGAAGCTGTTCCATTCTGTTTATTGTAGAAACAAGGGAAGAGTCTCTGCGAAGCTTTTTTATAAAACAATTTTCAGTCTACCTTGGCTCCCATCTCATGAATTTTTTATTCACCTTCAGTACAAAAGTATATTTTAGTTGATTCTGGCTTGGTTGGCTCAAGTGTACTTTCTGTGTGTTCATGAAATGTCACCCATTGACTGCTCTCTGCCCCTCGCATCCTTTCTTTTCTGCTCTTATCCTTCACCTTCCAGTTTTGCACCCTCACTCTCTATTTGTCCCATCAACCTTTCCCACTGAAAGGATATATGATACAGCAGTGGCACTTTGGTGTGCTTTCAACGTAGGCCGTTGTTACCTTTCCAGAGCCTTTTCCATTTAGGATTATTTCTAATTTTGTAATACAAACCTTGTCTGTTAAGGGAATTTCAGGGACCCACAAGAGGAGGAATTTTTTTTTTTTTTTTTTAGGATTGAGTCCTTCACAGATACTTCATATCAGACATCGAGGGGACTGCCATCTCAGATGCAAAAAATTTACATGCAGTATTTGGCTATCATGAGAAGGGGGATGCATTTGGGAGCTTTTATGTAGATGGAGTAGACAGAGTTTCAGGATGATTAGATGTGACAGGTGAGAAGACAAGGCCTCTTGAAAACAAGATTTTCTGCCCTGGATGACTAGATAGATATAGGATCATTAGCTGAGATGAGATGGGCAACAGTGTTGGCAGGAAGATGGTAAGTTCTGTCTGAGGAATTTGAAGTACCTACGGTTCAGGTGAGTGAAGTAGCTGTGGGATAAGTGTGTGAAGTAGCTGTAGGATAGGTTTGTGATGTCTACTACCACTTGGGAAAATGGGCCTGAACTTCAGGAGAGAGATTAAGTTTGGGAATATGGCCTTAGGAGTCATCCTCAGAGAAAAACTCATCTTGAGTTCCTCCAATTTGAGAGGTACCGAGAGGAAACAGAAAGTTGAAGAGGAAAGCAAAGCGAGCAGCCAGAGAGGAAGAAAGGAAACTGTGCTATGTCCCAGGGGCAAAGGAGAAAACTTATAGAGAACAAGGGGGCCATTTAAGGTGTCAAAGGCCACAGAGCCTTAAGAAGGACGGAAGCAGAGAAGTAGGTTTCAGATTTGGAGACTTTAGTCAATCAATTTCCATTGACTTCGGAAGAATAAATAGTAGCACAAAGTTGTTTATTTGTGTTCTTTTTAAAAAAATAAGTTTTTAGCTTGGTCAGGTGTGGCTCAGCAGTTGAGCGTTGACCTAGGATCCAGAAGATTGTGATTGACTTCTGGATCAAGGCACATGCCCTGGTTGCGGGCTCGATCCCCCCAATTGGGGGTGTGCAGGAGGCAGCTAATCAATGATGGCTCTCCCATCATTGATGTTGCTGTCTCTCTCTCTTCCTCTTTCTGAAATCAATAAAGATATATTTTTAAAAATTTTATTGATTTCTTTTTAGGGAGAGGGGGAGAGAGAGAAACATCGATGTGAGAGAGAAACATTGATCGGTTGCTTTCAGTATGCACCCCAACCACGGATTCAACCCACAACCCCAGTATGTGCCCTGACCAGGAATCTAACCAGTGACCTTTTGGTGCATGGGAGGACACTCAGCGAATTGAGTGGCTAGGGCAATTTGTATCCTTTATGTGACTAAACATGTTCAGTGTTAAATAATAAGTTTATTATGTAAAAAAGATTTTCCAAAAAGTTGGCCATTACATATAAGCTGTAAGACATTGTTTATATGGTTAGCTGTGTCTTTCTTGGACCTGAATCAGACTCTAGAGGATTTTTTTTTTTTTTTGAGTGATTTTATTTTATTTATTTTATTTTATTTCCAGGGTCATAAGTGTATTTATTTATTTATTTTTCTTTATTGTTGAAAGTATTACAAATGTTCCCTTTTTCCCCCATTGAACTCCACCAGGCATCCACCCCTGCCTCCCCAGGTCTCCTCCACACCATTGCCTGTGTCCATAGGTCATGCATATATGTATCTAATTTCTTTGATTAATCTCTCTCCCCCCTTGCCCTGCTCTCCACCCCCACCCTCCCTCAGAAATTCATCCTACTGCTCCATGGTTCTATATCTCTGTATCTATCTTGTTCACCAGTTTATTTTGTTCATTAGATTCCACGTATGAATGAGGTCATGTGGTACTTGTCTTTCTCTGACTGGTTTATTTCACTTAGCATAGTATTCTCCAGGTCCATCCATGCTGTCCCAAAGGGTAAGAGATACTCCTTTTTTTACAGCTGCATAGTAT